ACTCCCAACCCCTTGCAACCACTAATCTGGTTTGTCTCTGAGGCTTTGTCTTTTCCAGAATGTCACATAAAGGGAGTCATACAGTGAGCAGCCTTTTGTACCCGTTTTTTCTTTTTAAGACCAATGTTTATACCTCAAAATAGTCATATCTCCCTTAATACCTCCTGAGGAAGAAACAAAAAGTGAAACTTACCTTCTGGAATACTTGATAGTTGGACTTGGACCATATATCAAGCTGGGAGGGGATAAGAGATAAAAGTATCATCAGCATCAATTTTAGAATTTTGCACTTCAAGAAATGATACTGTATCTACTGCTATTAAGCTTGGAAAAAAACATGATTCTAGAATAATGGAATCTTGGGGTTGAAAGGATCCTAAATGTCCTGCCTGAATTTCTTCTTTATCAGCCTGTGATGACTTAAGGAGACAAAATGAAGTCCACTTGAGGTACATGTTGAATCCACGGCCCCGTGAACTGAGCCCCTCACTCACTTTTCTAACCTTGACTCCTACCTACCAGGGTTCTCTTGCATCACTCAACATGTCAAGGTCAATCCTGCCCTAGGACCTTTGCACTTGCTGTGCCCTTTGCCTGGACTGCTTTTCCTACAAACCCCCACATGGCTCCTCCGATACATCCTTTGGCTTAAATGTCACCTTGTCAGAGATGCGTTTCCCAGTGACTGTCTAAAATGCCATTCCCATACCTGTCGTCTTCATTCTCTTTATCCTTCCAAAAATGAATAATTTTCATAGCACTTAAAACTGAAACTCTTTTTGTATATGTTGTGCTGGCACAGGACCTGGCATGTCATGGGCAGGGGGAGGAAAACAGCTCCCAGCTGCTGAATGCCTGTTCTACACCAGGCACACACCGGGCCTTCCACATGCACTCTCCCACTTACTCCCCAGAACAAGCCAACGTGGCTGGTCCTGTTAGCAACCTTCCTTCCTGGATGAGACAACGGTTCAGAGCCATGCAGCTGCCCAAGTAATCTGAGAAGCTTCTGATGGATGGTCTTGCTTGGGGATGCTCAAACTTGGCTGTACAGACTCCTTGGTCCCTCCCCCGGAGTGTCTGAATTAACAGGTCTGGAGGGGACCCGAGAATCTGTTTTCCTGTTTGTTTTGGCAGTGTTCCCCCCGTTAACTGGGATGGCTGGTCAGCTCAGGAACTCTTGATCAAGGAAAACAGAGGTCTGAGATGAAACGTGGGTACAGTCTGGAGTAAACCCAGTCCAGTCCTCCTCTGGCCACACTTGGTCCTGCACAGGGTAATGCGTCGCTCAGTCTAACCAAAGCCGCGCTGGTTTCACAGGTTGCATGAAAAATCAAATCAGTGCCTTCTTGCTTTTTCAAGAGGACAGAACAAATGGAGTGTGGCAAAACAGAACTAACCCCAACACAGTGCAGGAGATGGCGCAGACTGAAAGAGGGGCTTTCAGAGTGTCCCATGGGGGCTGAAAAGTCAACTTTAACGTGCGAGTTCGAGAGATGAGCAAACTGAGACACCTGCTTAATAGGCCTCTTGGAAGCTGCCCTCGGGGCTGGCCAGTGGTCAAGGTGGAAACCTGAGACGTGGCAATTTAAGCCTGTATCTGGGGAGTATTGATTCTGGAGTGCCTGGGAGCACGCAGAGCCACCAGGCGGGAAGGCTCCTGCAGGAAGACAGGGAGTCAAGTGCCACACCTGACATGGGACAGCTTGGAGTCCTGTTTCTGTTCTGCTGGCGTTCTGAAAACACATCTTGGAAATGAGAGGTGGGGCCGGGAACAGGCATGCCTTCAGTGTCCCCGGCTTCTTCCTGCTCAGAAGCAGAGGAATCAAGGTCGTTCTCAGGAGGCCCCTCTGGCCCTGGCAGGGCTCCTGCCGGAGGGCGGATGTTTAGCTGGTCCAAATCCAGAACGATCATGGGAGAATTGTGATTAAACGTTTATTTGGATCTGTTTGCCTCCCTGTGTCCCCACTGCCGAACCATCTCCTTCCTGGATTTCCACCAGAGCCCCCACTGGACCCCTTCTGCTCTGGCTAAACTGCTCTCCAGAAAGATGGTGTCAACTTTTGGTCACTGCCCCCAACTTAGGTCAACTGATGGAATAAGAATTTTAAAAATCTTCAGGCTTAGATTTTTAATTTGACAGGTTAGCAATTTGTAGGGGGAAAATTGGTATGTTACCTCCAGATAACTCGAAAGGAAACCTCAAAACAAACATATGAAGTTAATTCCCTAGGTTATCAGTTCTGCCGAAGAAAATTGCTGGGCAGCTGGGCATGTTAAGGAGGATGAGTTGGGTTCACATCACAATCTTAGTGCCACAGTTTGGCCCAGGGCTTAAAAAATGCAGCATTTAAAGCCTACTCAGACATTGAGCAATGAATAAGAACGACTTTTTGTATCTTTTAGTTTTACCAAATCACTGCCAAGATGACAGGGACATGCCAAAGATTCTAAATCTGAATTTTAGGAAAAGTAACATCAATGTCTGACTTGAAACTAATATAGTTCTCTTTCCATTTTAAGACCACAGCTGTTTCTTCTGAAGTTCTCCACTGTTTATCCTTCCTGCCTGTTCACATCAGACACAGCCAGCCAGACCAAGACATAAACACAGGGCCATGGAAGAGAAAAAAGAAAGGAAGAATCTGCATACAGACTGAAAAGTTAGTTTTTACTTTAAAAGAGAAAATTATACACATAAACCCTTCAGTATCTGCAAAATGTTTTAATAGAAAAATCATCCAGAAAGAAATATGCACAGGTTTAATTAAGAGACTGACTCTCTCGCCTAATTGTGGCTTCTCAAAACACACCATGCTCATTCAAAGTGAGCGCGCTGCCCTTTTTGAAGGCGGTTTAAATATATTATTCAGGACCCTAGGGAACAGTTCTGACCATCTGGGATAGAAGGACAGCAGACAATACGCCCTATTTATCAGGCGCACAGGGGTAACAAAGGGACCCAATGACAATGGCTCCCCTTTTGCTGTGAAGGCACAGCATGCAGGGTGTACTCGATTTTCTGCTAGATTTATGCCAAAGAAAGCCATTTACGCAAGCCTTCTGGAGTCAGTGCCCTGCTTCTCCTCAGGGCCGGGACTGATCCAAGTGAATATTTATTAGCTTCAGCCTCTTTGCTGCAAAGGAGGACATGGCTACTGATTTTTTGCTGGCTGCAATATCCAAAAAGGAGAATTCTAGAAGCTACCAACTTTCAGCCTGATGAATAAGAAATTATTCTGAAGTGTCAGAAAAAAGAAAGGCAAGCACCCCTCGGTATTCTGGGTACGCACTGGAAAGATTTCAAAATGGAAAAGCCAAACTTATGGTAATTGTGGCTGAATCTGCAGTCTTAGGAGCAGCCTCCGGGACTCTGGGGACTGGAATGAGTACTTTAGCGGTGAGAACGTGGTCTCTTCTCATGTAAAATGGAAACAAACCCCACAGATGACCAACTGCTTTAGCACAGACACGTCTGCTCTCAGGTTACATGCCAGACATCAAAGGTCCTCTTGATGCACAAGATGAACTGGAGACAACAGTGACAGTCAAATTTACTCACTGAAAAGAAAAATCGGAATGTCCTCAAATCAGCAGGCAAAGGAATGCTGACTCTGAAGACGCCCGCCTCCACCAGCATTTCTCGTGCAGCCAGTGAGGGCGTATACCATTCACTGACGACTGTGCATTTAGCTTGCACTGTGCCTGAGTTATCTTTCTAAAGTCTCCTAGCAATCTCGTGAGGATGACAAAATCACTTCCAATTCACAGATGGGGAAAATGAGGCTCCGAGAAGTTAAGCAACTTTTCCAACATCACAGTATGTGGTTGAGAATTCTACACCGGGTCTGTCTCCAGAGGCCCAGCTCTTAGCCTGGGAGGAAGACGGCCCTGCAGCTAGAACTGGGAAGGCAGGCTGACTCAATGTGCCCCCTACGCTGCCACAGCTCCGGGGGCGGGGGTGGGGAGCACTCCTGCAGAGTTCAACAGGACAAATCTCCCAGCCCTGCTGATGTGACAGTCATCGCCATTAAAATGCATTCGGCAGCAAGTGAGAATTACGGCAGCTTATCAGAAACGTTATCAATTCTTCATCTCAAAAAATAGCACCATGAACTATAAATGATCTAAAACTGACACCTCCAAATAAAACTCGTAAGCCTCACAGGGGCTTCAACTTTTAAAGCTCTTAGTTACTATCAGCTTCGTCCTGCAAGGTTAACAGGTGACGTGTCAGTAAGGGTACGATGCTATCAACCAGCAATGGGGACAGATTTCTCCATGGTTTAGCCAAGTTTTCAGAACCATAAGCTTCAATTTGGTCGTCTGCTTAAGTCTGCCCACCCTCCCCTGGAGAATAAAAAAGTGAACAAGTTTCACAGGTCTGTTATTCTTCAACTTTTCACTTTCAATCAGGACATACATTTGTTACTAAAAAACTGCTGAAAGCACAATTTCAGGGCATCCTCTGCATATGAATGAAACCGGATTCCCCCTTCCCAGCTTTCACCCTTCCCCCGTAAGGAACAAGAGGCCATTTTTCTGAAGGTCGTCTGAACAATTTCAAAGGCTATAACAAATCAAAATGTTCCCTGCATCTAATATCAAACGGGGCTGACGCCAACACTTATTAGAGAAATCAGATTCAAGCCTCCCCCAGCCCCCTCGACCCAAACACACACACACATCCAACTTTGAAGTGGGAAGAGTGCGGGATCAGAAATTACCCTGGAGACAGCTCTGGCTGTCTTTGAAGGTTCCCTTTGATACCACCATTTCTTCTCCTCTCTTGCGCTAGGAGGCTAAAAGCTGCCTTTTTTTTTATTGATATGGGGTAATTAATGAAGCTATAGCATTAACATAACCTAAAATCCCCTAGTAAGACAAACTCAGCTGAGACACTGATATTTTCTTCAGTTAAGTCTGCCTGGTATAAAGTCAGGACAATGGCCAGGTACCAACTTAAACCTGCCTTTTAACATGCTGACGCATAGCTCCTTGCTCCTCCCCGATGACAGTGACGAGCGGGCTGGTAAGTCTCAACAGCATTTTTATATTTTATTAGCGGGATTAGTCTGCCGGTGCTCGGCATCAAAAAGATGCATCACAGGGAAAGAGACACGACGATTAGGGTGGTGGTGGCGGCTGTCAGTGCGAAGTGGCAGACAGGCTTGCTGGGATTCTAACAGGCAAAAACCCACTCAAGCTGGATATTAGTGGGACCACTGTTGTAGCAGGACGGGTAACTATAAACCTTTCAGAAGCCGGCTGCTCTGGGCTTGGAAGGCTCAGACGACAGCACAGGCGGGAGGAGGTGAGGCCTTCTAAGCCACGCCCGCTGCACCAGGGGCCCTGCCCTCAGAGGCTGCAGCAGTCCCCTGCCCCGCCCCGCCCCCCCCAGCCCCTAGCCCCCAGCCCCCAGGCAACTGCTTAGACACTGACTCAGCAGACGCAGGGCTGCACCTTCGGGACAGCAAAACTGCAGGTGCCAGTTTGTTCCCAGAGACCACACCTCGGGCTCCAATGGTTCCTTCCAAATGCTGCATCTTACTTGGGATGTGCTAGACCTTTCAGCACATTAACTGCACTGACGCTTATATGTATATATATACGTAAGTTCACATATGCCAGTGTCAGTCCTAAAAACGGAACACTAATAATGTCTGCGTGATTTTATTTTTATCATTTGTAAAGTACAATGAAAAAAGGGGGTTAATCAGATTGACTAGGATTTGATTCTGGACAGAGCGGTCATTTGAGCACTTCTCTGCCAAATGTGGTCAGTGTACCTTTAAAATGACAAATGGACCCGGGCCTCTCAATCTTGCTCTCCCTCTTTTCAGGGTCCCTGCTCATCTCCAGGGCCAATGGACGAGCTGTAAAACGGAGCAGGAGGCCTCCTGTATCACACTGATGACACGAGTCAGTAGAACTCAGGTTCCCAGACACACACTCCTTCTCTTTCTGGTGCACAGACAACCACGCTCATTTCTCACCAGGAAAACGTGACCTGGGTGCACACACGTGTGTCTCCTTCATGCTTTATTTACTTCACTCTCTGCTGCTTCGTTTAGTGCCCATCTCTAATGTTTGATTCTCCACTCCTCCATCCCAGCTAGAACATCTTCGCATCCCCAGGAGGCTCTTTCATTATCCCCTCCCACACGTTATTACTCTGCTGTGCTGCAGGCACTGAGGTATGTCCCGGCAGAGAGTCTCGGGATGGAGCGTGGGCCCTCGAGGAGCTCCTCGCAGACAGAGGGCTGAGGTCTGGCTCAGTGTGTGACTATGGGCAAGTCCCTTTACCGTTCTGGGTCTCGGTTTCCTGACCTGGGAGATGAGTCTAAAAGCGGTACCTAGGATTTGATAACCAATGCAAAATTTGCTCAGCACAATGCCTACCAGACCAGACATGGAGTGTGCTTGTATTTTTATTAATTGCAGGATAGAAATGCCAATAAAGAGTCAGGATGCACTCACTCTGGCACTAGAAAAAGACTGTTCACAATGCTATGCTGTATCAGCGATGACGGTGATTTGTGCTGTAAGCAGAGGCAGACCCAGCCCTGCCATCCCCAGAGCCCATGTTCCTAGAAGAGGCCTCTGGGGAACTGGGGACAGGACGAGAAGGAAGACAACATTCAGCCAGCGTGAAGGGAAGAGTAAGTTTGTCAGGTGAACAGGAAGGGCAAGCATCTCAGGTCAAGGGCACAGAGCAGGTGCAAGCATATGAAGGAATCTGGCACGTTCTGGGAGCCAAAAGCAGTACAAAAGCCTGGAAAGTAAGACAAAATGTACAGAGAGAATGATGGCAGGCGAGGTCAGAAAGGCAGGCAGGGGCCAGATCATGGCACTTCTGTGCCTTGTCAAGGAGTCTGGATTTTATTCTACAAGCCAGAGTTTTCAGAAGCGTGTTTTGCCAAATGCCAGTGTCATAATATGCTCTAAGAATAATGGAAGAATAAAAAAGTGATGGTCAAAGAAGTTAGGAAAATACTGCATACTATATACCCTTCTTGGGAGATTCTTAAGGCACATAAGCAAATGAAGAATTTCTACTATGAAGAAACCTACTGAACATTCTCGAACCCAGGATTTCTCGAACTTTTTTGACCACGGACTGCTTTGTGCCAAACATCTACTAATACCCCTCTTTCGTGCTTTGGGCAGCAGGGAGATGGCACAAAGCAGGAAATCATGCTGCTGCACGTGTGTTTGAGGAAGACAGCTCTGGAGGCCACATGCAGGACAGACTGGAGGAGGGAAGCACAACTGGAGACTAGAGGTGAGCAGGCTGGTGCAGCTGCTCAGCAGCGAGGTAATGAGAACCTGAGGGAAAAGGGGATGGACAGGGGGGCCCAACTGCAGGGGTAAAGAGGGAGACTCGTCACAACCCATGCTCAGGCTACACGTGAGGGAGGGAAGGAAGGCCGAGCCGCTGGGGGTACAGTTACCCGGGATAAGGAACAGCAGGGGGAGCTGAGTGCAGATCTGCACAGGCTGAACTCCAGGTCCACCTGCAGAGCAGAGGTCTGACCTCGACACAAATCAAGAGTGATCCCCGTGGGAGTTGAGGGGCACATGAAACCACAGGGACGGATGAGAATGGCCGAGGGGCATGGGTGGAAGGGAACTGAACCCCCAAAACCTGGGAGCCACGGGACAGACGGGCGAGAAGGGACTTCCCGTAGCAGCTGAGGAGGGGTGATCGGAGAGAAACTCTGGAGGTGTTTTCTAATTCCCCTGTTTTAAGTGCAGAGTATAAGTGACACTAGCAATCATCTACTGAGCAGTAAGCAGGTGGCAAAGTGCTCATATTATTTCGGACACTCTCAGTATGGGGCAGGTAAGTAAATATGTTAGCGATATCCTGCAAAGCAGTCAAATTACCACTGCTTACAAGCCAAGCTCAGAGCAGGCTTCACGTGCACCCGGGACTTGGTGTCTCTCGCAGCATGGCCGTTGTTATCACCCAGCTTTTATGTACTTGTTCTTTATTTCCCCAGGTCACTTGTAAGTCTGTGGAGAGCCAGGGCTGTGTTTCACACCAGGTATGACCATACGGTTGTAAATCTTGAAAAAAATTTTATTTATTTTTAAAGATTTTGGGAGTTTTTTTTTTTAATTTATTTTTAATGGAAGTACTGGGGTTTGAACCCAGGACCTTGCGCACGCTAGGCATGCGCTCTACCACTGAGCCATACCCTCCCCCTTGTCAATCTTGAACAGAGGCACGAGAACCACGTCTCTACGTGAGCACCCGCTGCCCCCGCGCCGCTCCTGCTGCGGCCGAGTGGTTTGCAGCTCCCTGCTTAGAGCTGCCATCAGGGTTTGTGAGTCCTGCACACCACAGATCACACTTGCCCCACTCACCTACCTCATTCTCCACACTTGTTCCAAAGATATTTTGGTTTCTCTAAAAGTAAAAAGGAAGTCTTCCCTCAAGGGATGTTTTACTATCAACAGGGAGGTTTATGAGGCACTCGGCAGGCGTCCTGGAGTCAGGCCCCTTCCCAGGCTGACAACATTCATGTGGAATGGGAAGCGGGGACACGTGGGTCACCTGTTCAAAGCGCAAACCCCGTTCTCTATGGAGCACACCTGTACCACACGCTGTTATACGCTAAGCTACCTTCATCCTCTGCTTCTGAACAACATTCTATCCTCATTATACCATGGCCGTTGGTCGTAAGTGCTGCTAATAACAAACTTGTAAGTTTTAATGGGATTCACAAGGAGAAGGGAAAGCTCCAGGGAGAGGGGAAGATGGGGGCTCAGTTTCAGGAAGTGAGCAGGGTGAACCTGGGTGGGTGTCTCTGGCAGAATGCTCATTACTCCCTGGAATCAGACACAAATGGGGGCTGTCAGCTCCCATCAGCATCCTCTGATGCTCTCTATAGAGCCATATGGAGAGTGTGCAGTCAAGAGAAACCAGGGGTCCACATGGGTGAACTGCCCATGAAACAAGCCACCCGTGGAAATAACGTATCATTTTTCAGTTGTAGGGCTCAACAGGCATGGCTGCGGCTAAGCAAACTCTGGGGGCCAGGCGTTAGTTTCATGGGACGAGTGCGTCATCAGCTTGTGTGTCAAACTAAGTCGAATTTTCCTCGTGGTTCTAGGAAAAGCAAAACGCTGAACCCTGGCCTACTGATGTGCTGCATGAATAGGCAAGAAAAAGAGAGAAAGGAAGAGAAGGAAAGAAAGAAAAAAGAAAAAGGGAAAGGAAGAAAGAAAGAAAAAGAGAAAAACAGAAAGGAAGAAATCCATTTCCTCAGCAGACACATTTAATGAGGCAACTGGGTCTAAGGTGATAAATTAGAAATTCAACTAAGGGCATCGGGCTTAAAGGAAAAAGCAGAGGCTTGATGAAAAATGCAAGGGGAGAGAGAGAAATGTGTTTTGTAAAGCGTTCAGCCTCCTACTGATAAATCTGTGCTTGTTGATCATTTCAGCTATGATTGCTAGTGTTTAATGTCATTCATCTGGGACTTGACTACATTTGCTCTGGGATACAGAAAATAAAGGGAAAAACAAAACAAAAGACTGCAGAACGCTTACCTTGCCATCTTCTGTGTACACGTTTTCATTATACCCCTTTACTATCGTTCGATCAATGAACAGGCTTCGCATGACGACAATCACTTTCAACACCTTCCCCAAGGTCACCTGTCAAAACACGTGCATGCAAACATGAAAGCTTACACCTGGACATGCAAACCACCTGAACCGGGCAAGATCACGAGAAGAAAGGATCACCTCCCTCCTGTTTTCGAGAGATGCCCCAGAGGCCACGCAGATGGAGGCACGATGGTGCCCCTGGTGCTCGCATCCTAAGGCATTAAAGAGGGTGCAGGTCCCAATTCATTTAACTACCCTGAATTTATTCATAACCTTGGCTTATAAATTCTCAGGATAAGTTCCAAATGTTGGCTATCAGCTGGATAAAGTAAATTTCCCTTTTTTTTTCTGTCTTAGGGTTACCTTCTTCAAAGGCTATCCTATGATTCTGGCATTCAGTGACAACATTTGTTTTCATATTATGTCATGACCCGATGCACACCCGTGGAATATGCAGACTACAGTGGGGAGTGGGGGAGGCGGGCACCAAATGCCCCTGGCTGAACTGTCTATTGATAACTGCTGGTAGAAAGTGGAGCTCGTCTGAAGGTAAGGGAAAGGTAGCTGAATTTTATCTCCAAAATGGAACACGATCCTGGAAACACATATAAGTGCTTTTATTCTCTTAGAACCTAAGCACACATTATAGATTAAAAAAAAAAAACCTAAAAAAAGTGCAGTGTCACATATGCCAGGGAAGCAGCGCCTGGCTGTGCCTGCTGAGCAGGCTCGGCCCCCAGAACAGGAAGGGCACCGTCCTTTCTTTCAGGGGCTCATGTAAGCCTTTGAGCACTCTGTCAAGCCTCTTTTCATTTCCTAGATGAGACCCTCAAGGCAGACTCGGCGCAGGACCCAGGCCAAGGCCCGCTGTCCAGGCTGCCCCGGGAGGGCCTGGCATCACAGACGGGCTAGAAGGAGCCCTGCCGGACCAAGCCAAGCACCGCTGCCCCAAACAAAGCCTCGCTCCTGCAGCCGCAACGTGCAGGCCCTTCCCGCGCTGCTGCCTCCCAGCCTCCTCCCCTCATTTTCCTATTCCGTGCAGTTCTTAATCTACTGTCCCCCAAAATAACGGTCCTCTCTCCCTGGTTACCCTGGGTATCAATGAACATTACTAACAACCAGATTCCTTTACTATGTCTAGTGCTGGGCTGACCTGTTTCTATATGCCCAAAGCGGTACAGAGTATCAACAGGGTAAGAAAGAGATGATAGGCTTGTTCACATTTAAGAGAATGTTAATAAAAGTATCTTATTTCTGGGGAGTACTTTAAATACTGCTACACCGTGTGACATTTCATGGCTCATCTCTCGTATAATTGGAAATTGCTATTTACGGATGCCAATAAGCCACCTAGGTAGAAACAGAAACTGTCTCTAGTTTACAGGCAGCCTGCCGGGAGGCAGGCAGGGAGGGCAAGGAACCCGGCTGGTTATAGTTTTGTGGTCATAAGCACTGAAATTAAATAGCCTCTCGCTGGTTTACAGTGAAGGTCCAAGCTACCTCTTCCAACAGGGCCACCACTTTCAACTGCACATTTTAACTCTCTTTGACGATAACAAGAGATAACTAAGCAACTGTTTCCTTAAGGGAACACAATCTAGCTGACCTTGATGAATTCCCTGAGGAGTTTCTCAAGTTACTGAAGATGGAATTCAGGAAAACACAAACAAACAAAAAAACCACACAGTAAAGATACGAGAAATGTTATATTTGATTTTTTTGTTTTTAAAAGTGAATTTTGGTCTTCTAAAGTTAACTAATAGTAAAAAAAAGTTAATAAATGTTCATGATGGAAACATTTTAAATTAGAGGAAAAAAGAAAAGAATTCTTCACAGTCTTTCCATCCACAGATAACTGCCAATAAAATTTGGGGGTACTTCCTTTCAATCTTTTTATTATCAAAGATTTATGGTTTTTGAATTTTTCACATCTATAATCGAAACTAACTATATAATTTCAAATCAAAATTTTATTTAAAGTTATGATGTTAAACATTGTTCCATACTGCTGTGCAGTCTTCAAAAATGGCGTTACACGCGGCATGGCATTCTACTGAATGAATACGCTGTAACTTCTTTCCCCACGCTCCTGTTGCTGGACATGAGCCGCTTCCAGTTTCCTCCAACCTTAACATGGCTGCAGTGTGCCTTTTGTTCACCAAGCGTTTGGTGTGATTGGAACTATTTCCTGAGGATAGATTTGTAGAACCGTACACACTTATTTCACTCCACTTGTTAGCAATGGGTGCCACCAAATCAAAACAAAACGAAATGAAATCTACCCTGCTCCCAGAAGTACTGACTCAATTAATTGCTTTAAACTTTTTATTATGGAAGACTTAAAAAATACACAGAAGAAAACGAAATAGCATAAAGAAACCCCCATGGACCCACCCCCATGTCCACAATCACAGCTCTTGGCAAATCTTTGTTTTCCCTACTCCCTCACCTACATTTCCCTTCCTATATTATCTTGAAGCAAGTAACAGCCATGGCATCATTTTCTCTACAAATAGCTCAGCCTGCATCTGTAAAAGAGAGGGCCCTGAAAACAAGACAGCATTACCATGGTGCTACCCCGCACGTAAAGCAACAGGAGCTCTCCTGTATCACCAGACCTGCAGCCGAGTCGGCATGCAAATCTCCAACGTCTCATAAGAACTGTATTTTTAAGGTCTGCTTGTACCAGGATCTGAATATGATTGACACAGTGTGACTGGCTGACATGTCTTGTCAGTCTCTCCTAAACTAAGGGCTCAGTCTCCCAACTGCCTCCCCACCCCACAATTTTATTTGTTGAAGAGACTGGGTCATTTTTTCTAGTTTCCCACAGTCTGGGTTTTGCTGATGGCATACTTTACGTGTTCCTCCTTACTCTGTATTTTCTGTAAATTGGTAATTAGATGAGATTCAGGCTTGATTTTTTTTGGGGAAGACCACTTCACGAGCGGTGCTACAGTCTACCAACAGGAGGCACGCGCAATCAGGCGGCTCAGTGCATGATGCTGGTGGCTGCTGACCCATTAATTCACCACGGGTTACAGATGGTTATTTTCCAGTGCCATCATCCTGTCTTTGTTTATTAGTTGGAACAGTTTTATTAAAAAACTTCCCCCTATCTGCTAACTGGTTACCCAGTGGGAGCGTTTATCATATCAGAAAGGCAGGATAAATGCTCAGTCCTTTCCCTTTACTTACCAGTTTTCAAACAATTTATTGGTTCACTAGTTTCCTTCCGATGCATACGGCTTGGTTTTCTCTCCCCTTAACGTTATTATGAACTCAAAGAGTCAAATACATTTGGTGCATTTTTATCTGATGCAATTATTACTCTTACTGATGTTCAGTTCGTCCTGTCTGTGGCTGGTGGGCATCTTTCTGAGGCACGACCCTCTGTGATGGATTCCTTGCTGTCTGGAGTATCACATTCCAGGCTTGTCCTGTGCAATTTCCTCCTGAGGTCATGAATCAGCCATTTCCTCCAGCAGCTCTGGTTCTTTTCCTCAGGAGAAGCTATTTCAAGACCACAACCAGGGCAAGAGGGGCAAATAATTTTTGATACGTTAAAATTTTTGTTTTTATTTTATGATTCTGGTTGAGAGTAATTTTTCCTTTTCCTTTCTACTTTTTTCCCCTTATCCTATATTCATTTGTACATTGAGGTTCAAGTGTTTTGTTTTCTTTTCTAAAAAGAAAATTAGAGACTCCAGTCATACCTCTCACCTCCACTCCCACCTCCACTCCACCTGTCCAGTTTGCTCCGGAGTCCTGGGGCTGGCGGCTTCTCTCTGCCCTCAGGGCGCTGTGACCGCACAGACGTGCACCCCGGGGGGGGGGGCGCACAAGCGTGGCGGCTCACCTTGAACCCCCGGACGGCCTGTGCCCATCCCGGGCTGCAGCAGTTGACGCGCCGTCAGTGCCATGAAGTCTTACTCCGGTTTACGTTCATTATCTTTCAAACTTGTCAAGCTCTATGAAGCTTGTCAATTCTTATTTTTCACAAGCCAGAAAAGACCCTGGTATTCACCTAGGTTGAATATGCACAGATTTATGGCTTTCTGCATTTTTAACGTGGTCACAATGAAACTGCATACACAATTTTGATGTTTACCATTTTCACGTTCTGGAATCCAGCACATTTGGAATCAGGTCTTGAAAAGGGGTGCGGCAGAGGGCCTGGCACAGATGACACTCCAGAGGCAGCGACGTTACCCGGCCCAAACCCTTGTCTGGACTTTGCAGAGGCAAAATGATCTGAAGCCAGTTAACATCAAAGCTGGAACCAGAACGGCTGCTGTCTCCAGTCCAGTGAAACTGCCACTCCTGCTGTCACACCTGGGGCTAAAGGTGACAGTGGTGCTGGGCCCGGAGGTCTGAACAAAAATGTGCTCCTGTTGAAGGACGGCTGAGAGTCTGCAAACCTGGGGTGCAGGGCAGTCTAGGGGGAGGTACGAAGCTGCCACTCGGGCTGATCTTGCTGGCTCCCAGAGGAGGCCATTAGCGTGAAGGTCAAGTGCACCAGGACTCAGTGCCACACCTGCCACTCACAGGCAGTGTGACCAAGGGCAAGTCAGACCACCTCTCGTCCTTGTTCACTCAGCTGTAAAACACAGAGGGGCCTGCTGAGGAAATCAAGTGTGACGATTCACAGGAGACACGCGTGGCCACGGACGTGGCACACGATACAGCGTGACAGCTGTGCTCAGAGGTGGCACGGTGGGAAGGGCCCTACAAGCCCTCGAGCCCGGCCCTCAAGGTGGAGCCTCACGCATGTTCCCTCCCGCCCGCAGGTCACTCTGTAATGATTCAGAGTCTCGTGCATCTGCACTGCGCCGGGTCCTAAGGTATCTGGACGCACTGGGTTGCAGTGACCTTGAAGTTCTGGTAGGCCGAGAAGGCGGTGCACCAGATACATGCCAACGGACACCGTTCTACCAACTAGCCAGCGCTGGCCATGGAGGGAGGCCAAACGCCCGGTGGTGGGGCTACAGGTCGGTGCTTGGCAACTGCTTTGGGATCCCACAAATAAAGCTAATGCCATCTGGTAA